TTTAAAGAATTATCTTTTAAATATGCTAATTCCCTTTGGCACTCTACTGGGAATGGTTCAATAATGCGCTACATCTCATGTTTTAACAGATCTTCCGTAGGTAAAATAACACTGCTGTAATCATATGTGAGACAATTTTCTGCCAATGTTTGCCAATTGGTTAAATCCACGTTACCATACAATCACATGGGAGATTAACATTCTATAGTTATATAAGTGTAGGCTTACGTTGTATGTATATTAGTGTGTGTAAACCTCTTGGTGTGCTTAAACCGCTAACTCCTTACGATTCTAATGTGTGGCCTGTTCAGGATGGTCATAATTGTTAGGCAGGCTCTCAGCAGAATATATCACTGACCCACAGCAGATTTTTCATCAGTGTTATGAAAGACGCACGTTATCTAATGGAACTGTTAAGGGAGATTGTTGTTTTGGATCAGTAACTTGTTTTTACAAGTGTATTCCGTTGCTCGGAATAGAATTGGATTTAATGATTTGTTTGAATGCAGCCCGAGTCACGAATTATTTGACTAATATCACTAATTATTTCGACAGGTGAATTGAGTATCGAACATGATTTTGCTTTTGTTTGTTCATTGTTTGCCATGTGAATTATTTATTTGATTTACATTCTTTACGTTCTTTTCTCAATCATCCTCATGACAATCATTTGCAGCTGTAAGACTCAGAAGTCTGATTTATTTGACCTTATTACAAGCAATTATTTTTGAATGAAAACCTTAACAATATAAACCTATCGTTTGTCTCAATGAAAATACATTTTGAAAGTTCTTTTGAACATTTTACACGAAATCCATGTCACCAATATGACTACCAATTTCATTTGCAACTTATATTTAAGGTTGTCAGAACTCATTGATGATTAAAAAACGAATTAAATGCATGGATATACAATACTTTATAGTCTTTATTTTAACTTGTATGATGTGACAAACTACGTTCCTTTCATATAAATAAGGTTACAAGGGAGCTTGTTTGATTCATACCTTGTTTTGATTCATACCCTATAAGCCATTTAAGTTTTTAAGTCATTATTGCCAAAAAATAGAGAGTCGATTTCAAATGCTCAAATTACAAATTTCTAAGATTTTGAATGAAAGGAATATTTAATATATTTCCTCATTGACTGGGGATTCAGACACAGGTCAGAGGGTCAATATGGACTTTTTTTTAACAAAAATTGTTAGTGGAGAAGAAGAGAAAACCTATTTGGGTTTTTTCTAATAATTGCATTCAGTGGACGTTAATAATAACAGGGACGCTGTTGAAAATAAAATTGCACATATACTGGGTAACCATAAGGTATAAGGTGAATTCTGAGAATAGCCTCATGATTGATGAATAAAGACCAGCAGAGCAATACTCCATTCGCTTAATTAAACATAGTCTCTTACAATGTATATGTTGCTGTCATTGTCTGAAACAGAGAAACGGTAACCTCTTGGTGTTTGTGTGGAGGTAGCTCCTTTCAGGATACGCGTTCGGTTTAAGCAGATAACGGAGGAATCTCTTACCACGAGGCCGACGAGGACCTCAGTTAATCAGAGTAAAAGTGATGCAGATAGGCTATGTCATTGTTTAGACCTAACTCTCCCGTTTCTCCCTCAACTAAGCTAGATAGGCTACTCTGATAACTGTTTTAGAATACATGCTATTAATCCTAGAGATAACGCAAGTTCTGACACATCTGTTTTTTTCAAGGATGCTGGTATCGTTTTAAACTGAGTCCAATGGACGGTCTAGTCTGTTGGATTTGTTTTTTTCACATATCACTTTTTTGCTATATAGGCTATATATAGCCTATACTACACACACACACACACACACAATACACTATATAGCGAGATGACCAGTTACATTTTATGAAATCACAAACTGTATATATAAATAATACATAGACAATTTGTGATTTCATAAAATGTAACTGGTCATCTCGCTATATAGTGTATTGTGTGTGTGTGTGTGTGTGTGTGTGTGTAAATAACCGTTGAAGGATCTCATTGCAATCTGGTTTTCATGTTTTGTGACATTCTCGAATCACTTACTGGAGTAAAAAGTATTAGAAAATGTGTCAACTCGAACCGCTGTGTTTGTAGGATTAACAACGTGGTGATGAGCTCTTTTTTTTGGCCGGTCACGTAACAGCATTATTTTCCTCTCGCGTCCTGATCCCATTACAAAAGAAGCTTCCATGAGGCCTCTTATCCTGTTGGAACCACGTGTCTAAATATGAGGCGAACGGTTCATCAGTCAGTAAATGGGATAGTTTACCGTGTTTAATAAGTGTTAAGTGTTTAATAACATAGACTATGTATGCAAAACCTAGGCCTATCTCATTTATTAAGATTACTATTGACCCCTCTGTGGATTATCGGGATTATTTTGGTTGCATTGGCAATTCGGAATGGTGTAGCCTTATGAAAACACAACATTTACTCACTATTGTCAATTAAATTCGTCGGTCAGTCAGTCATAAGATTTTTACAAGGTTCAATGAGTAAACTGTCATTAAAATACTTTTACATTTAAAAACATCTTAGGGCTAATTTCTAGGTTAGTTCTTTTCCAGAGTAGAGAACGACAGATTGAGCATAAATTTGTTAGGAGACCGAAAATCTTTTCCTACTGAACAGCCTAATGGTGGCCTGCTGAGTTCTGTGAATGAAGCCTCGAGTCCATTCGGCGAAGTCAGGCCTCGAAATTAACCAGTCTGTATGTTTCGCTGTGCAAGATCCGTCTCGCTGTGCAATGTGTTCGCCGTGATATAATTTGTTAATTACCATTTCTAATTTCTAGGATGCGGCCTGCCTTAAACTACTCTTTTTTTTTTTTAAAGCCGTTTTCACACAGACTCAGTTCGCAGTGCGTTCGGTTTGGTTAAAACAGAACACGCAGCCGCTGTCTGTGATTAAATAGGCCTACCTGTAGATACACAAAACATATTGATTCAGACGTCTTGCTGTTTTAAACACATATGTATAAATCCTTTGTCTAGACGATTATCTTAGTTCATTAATTGATTATTTTTAATCATCATTATTATTACCCACGAACACTTTATAGGCTAGGCTACTCTACATTTCACAAGATAACTGAAAGATTTAGTCCTGCCTACCGCTTCTGTGAGTATTTCCATTGTCTGACAGATTTGTTGCCAACTGTTTTAGAGAGGGCTGATTTCTTTTTGCTTGTGGACGAAACAGCTTACGGGTACATATTAAAGCATAAACAATATCAGACAATATTTTATAATTATAACTCTATTACATATGCTAATTTTATTTTTTATTTTTGGAGATTTGTCCTTTTTTTTGGGCCCAAAACTCCGATTTTACACGCACTGGTATAAAATGTGTGATGTATTTTTGAAACGTTAACGATATGAACCACTGTCATACAATTAAATGTAGTTAATGGTGCAAAAGGTAAATTGGGTGAATTTAATAGTATATAATTCATATACAATTTACTTGTAATTTAGAAGGACACCGACTCTGTCAACCCCCACTATCCCCACATTTACCAAGGTCTACAAACAAGTGGCTACTGCGACTAGTCTAGCACTTGTTTTCCTTATGCACAAATTACCCAGTTAACAATTTAATTTGTCCCTTATATCTCAGGACGTACCATACACCAGGAACTCTGGAGCTGCGATGCATTTAAGTTCTGGCTAACTGTGCGCCGTTATGGTGTCATTTTTAAACCTTTTTTTCAAAAACTCTGTCCTTTCTTTCTTCCTCTTGCTCCTCTGCTTTCAATCTTACCCTCCTTGGAGAAAGGAAGTCAGACGAAGAAGCTTATCTTGAGCAGAGCTGGTCGTAATATCTGAAAGATATCTAAACTATACCAGAGACATAATGCTGCCTCGTCTCACGCAGATTAAACAGTTATAAAAACTGTGATATGGAAACATGGTAATGTAACCAAATCATGTCTGTTGTAGACCTCCTCATCTGAAACGTGCTGTTTCTAGTAGACGTGCTTGCTTTTCCTGTTTCATTTCTAAACGCGCTCATGTGTGGTTATAGGCTTCTGAGTAGTGTGCTTGAGTGTATAGTGTGTATAGCAGGGCACGAGACCATCGGTTTCTAACCCCCTCCCCCACATCAACACTTTTCTTTACAATAAACAACTTATCTCAAAGTTTGATCTTACATTTACTTGAACCGCACGTTACCTCAAGAAAGGGACATACGGTTATAATAACAATGAATATTAATGAGTTAAAAGTTAAAAATGAACGATCATCTCACATCACACTCAGATGTATTTAATGAACAGTTTCACGATAAAAAGAAAAAGAAAGTGCTTCAAAATCCACCTCACGTTTTCAAGTTTTCATTTCGAGTGCATTTATCCTACACAACAATGGTATACAAAAACCAGGAAAATCACAAAAATAAATATGCATTTTATAAACAAACCAGTGACTTCAATTTAAGAAAAAAAAAATCATGTCAAAATCTGACCTCAAGTATTGCAGCAAAAGCAGAAAGATAAAAAAACAAAGTCCACCTTGACCAGATAATTCCTAACCTACCATGTTTACAGTGAGTCACCGCCCATTTTCCCATTTCTGTTCATTGTGGAGATCCTGAATTTCTTTAGCTTAATGCGGTTGTGGTATGTGCGCTACATTCTTTTTAATTTGGCTAGTTTTGAATCCATTCCTCTGAAGCTGGGACGACATCGCTATTCTGTCAGTCCGCAGAGCACTTTGACACAGAACGGAAGAAAAAAGTTCATTTTATACGCTCGAGAGAGCAGGCTTTAAATAGTCGCGTTACAAAAATATACAACTACTATATTTGAATCATTCACCTGTCAGAGTGTCAGGCTATATCGCATATTGGAACATTCACAAAGCGATGCATTTTCACTTAATAGGCTACAAAGTGTCTATCTCCACTTGTATACGTTAATCAAAACGTAATGGGCCCATGCCTTAACACGTTAAATTACCTTAAAGTCTATTAGGCCTACATGTTTTCTCAGAATGACGTGAGCCCGGTAGCCTCGCTTTAGCCAAATCTGCATAGTCTCTGCCCATTTAGTGATAACTCACAGGCTTTGAATTTATGTGTTTGTGTAGGAAATTAGAATGCAGTTGAATGTTTTCGGCCCCTGGCAATATATCATCCCAAACTTATGAATTTAGCTCATTGGCTGATCCAATCACAATTTGCTTTTAAAGGCCTGTTTTGGAGGCAGCCTGCTTTTGCTGAAGTAAACAAATATGGTTGGTCACAGTACATTCATCACAAGGCATTTATATGGGGCAGGGTACTCTAGTGGAACACCAAGTTAACACTTAAATGTTTTTTAAGGTTATGCTCTCCAGTGCCAAGGTAATCCATATCCTTGGAAAATAGGCCTAGTAAAGCAAAATACAATCAAAACACTGTACAAAAAGGACAAGGCTACTTGAGTCAAAGAGAAATAAACATTTAGCCTACTAAGTATACCCTGACCAGAATGTGTGTATAGGCTACACCACTAAGCACCAAGGTCTTTTTTCTTTGATTTCGTCACGTATGTAAAAACACTGTTGTTTGCAGCTGTCTGTAGTTCGCTCCGTTTAAACCGGCAACATTTACAAGAAGAACGACTAACAAAAACCTCCTCTCAAAAGCAAACGAGCATATTGGAAATAGCACCACATTAATAAGTACTGGATTTAAAAAGGGTTTTTTTGGGGTTAACTTGCGATGGCTCTTTTGCGTAAGAAAATCACAAAATAAAAACACACGTCACTAATTCACCTTAATGGGCATTAGCAAAGTGCAATGCGTGGTAAATTTGTGCTTTAGCTGTTCTATACCTTAATCTATGAATGTGCTAAAGAAGGAGTTTGATTTGGCGTTTTCCCCTCTTTTACATCGTGCAAATCAAACAGCTCTTGATTGTCAGTTAGAGGGGCATTGTGTTGGGCCTACCGTGAGAGTTATGGTGCGCTGCGTGTGAGTGAACACAGCCAGGCGCCAACAATTGGGGCGCACCCATTAAATGAATAAATAAGAAGGGTATGGATCATCGGCCTACGGTAATTCAGAAATACAGTAGGCTATGTGGATGAAGCATAAAGGGAAAATACAAAACATTGGCTCAAAATATACTGACAAAATCAGAATTTCAGTTGACACTGAAATGTGCCTGCAAAATGAGCCAACATTTGCTCCGTGAGAGTCTAGTCCATCAGGTCAAAAACAGCTCCACGGTGTCAGTATTGTCATTTTATAAACAACTGTTTTTTTTTTTTTTGCTACGCAGCTTATTATAAATACCTCCATTTATTCCCGAGTCCCAAACCTCGATGGATAGACCAGCCTGTCGCCTGTGCTATGAGGACGGACGGTGTGTGCAACATAACAACAGGCCAAAAACGTTTACATTGAAAACAACAATGAAAACAAAACAACTAATGACAATCAGTGCTTGTCACAGTTTTAAGACATTTCCCCCGAGCCGAGCTCAAAACAACAGTTCACGGAATAACAGAGGCTTTCCTGAATTTGTGGCTTGGAGGGGGAGGAACAACTGAATGACCGAGCTGCCATCTCCACACTGGGTGAGAACGATGAGGCAGTTGGTTACTTCTTAAAGAGTTCAAAGAGTAAGCGGGACTCAAATCTCCATCGCTGCCAATAACGAGAGACGGCGGAGAGGGAAAATTCGCCATGAGTCTGAAGGGCTTTTTCAGAGATGCTACATTGGGGCTCGCTCGTTTGCGTTTGCTCGCGCCCGCACAGTCTTCATTCGACCCCTCACTGCTAGCGAATTTTCCTGCTGCACGGGGGCTCCGGTCAACTTTTGCAACTGATTTCGCGAATGTCCTCACACCTTCGGCTTTTTTACCCAAAAGCATCGCCCTGTAGTTTTTTCTGACCCTTGCACCATTCTTGGATTCCCCTTCCTCGGAACAAGGAGTGTTTAAAGTGCTTCTTGATTCCTCGTTACAGGCAGGGTTTTTCTGAACGGCGCTCTCTGTGGCTTTATAGTGGTCAGTTTCCTTTAAATTATTACTGATGCGCTGATCTTCAGCGTCATTATCCTTACATTGATATTCCGGAGGATGATTTGCATATTCATATTCGTCAAAGGTGTCCTCGACTTTAATCTTCACGTTGTTGAGTAAAAATGGTGGCGTTTTTACTGCCCTGTTGCCCTCATTGTTAAATCCTGAGGTACTAACGGGCTCCTCGGTCTCTGTTTTGATCGGTTTTAGAGGTGAAGGCAGTTTGAGGGAAGTTTTTGCTTCCCACTTGGAATTTGCTGCTAATGGAAGATTGCTGTCAGAAGACTTACAACCCGTTTTTTCTTTGTCCGGAACACAGTGGGAGATCAAGGCTTGGGAGCATTTGTTTGCAGAACCCGGTATTCTTTGTTGAGGAAACGCATTGTTTCCATTTGCATTAGGTGTAAGCCCAGTCTCTTTAATTCTGTTAGCCACACAGTCTGTTGTCTTTGGATCATTTGAAAATTCAAGGCGTGATGGTGCTTCAGAGCCCTCGTTTTGTCTCAAATCTGGGAAACATGTCCGCACCGGGCAGAACTTCTGCACTTTTGCGGCATCACCATCCTCGTGTGCGTCCCTGGACGATGTGAAGTCCGATTTCTGAGTTTTGCCAGTTCGTTCGCAATCCAAAGTAGCCGTTACTCCGTGGTTAGTGGGGATGTTCTGCACATTAGGCCTGTAGTGAAAAGTTGGCTGTAAGAGCAGAGGTGCTTTTGTGTTGAGACTTGAGAACCTCGCACGCCTGAAACGAATACTCTGCACTGAAACCTGACTGGACACAGAGCTCGAATCAGACTGAGAGGAGCTCTCTTCATCGCTGCTGACATCTGAAGAATCCGAGAGAGAGTCGTCCTCCTCCTCCTCCGAAGTCCCGGAGTTGCTGGTGGTAGAGAAACTCGACCCGAAATCCGAATCATTGTTCACCGGTTCTGAGACGGAGCTAGATTCCGTGTCGCTGCTGCAGCTTTCCTGAAAATGTCCAGTGTGCCGAGGATCGACGTATAATCCATGCTCGAGGTGGTGAAACTGGCTTAAAGATCCGTTGGGAACTTTTGGTTTACAGCACTTTGGGACGACCAAAACCGGATGGCTTCGTCTGCTCCTCGACCAAAACTGCCTCGCGCTGCTCTCGCGCTTCCTCTTCCTTTTGTAAAGTAGGTCTGCGTTGCCTTGGTGCTTTGCCTGCGCTGCAATGGCGGACTGATAGAGCAGCGGTTGCCGATTCACAACGTGCCGAAAAAGCGTATGTTTCTGCTTAAAAGCCACGCAGTTGTCAGGTATTTGATCTGTTTCATAGTTTTTAAAGGGTGTAGATGCCGACTTCGTGACCGGTTGGAAGTCACGGCCGAAGGATTTACTGTAAATTTGAGGTAGATCTGAGTGAGTGCGAGGGACAGGGTCCTGTCGAACAGCTTTATTTTTGAATGAGAGAGCCTGAGGAACGCCATGCAAACTCAACCAAACTTTCTCTCTCCAAAAGTCACTTCTGGTAGAGGTGCGGTTTTTGCCATCGCACATTTTTTCTGAGGATTTTTTTCTCTTTTCCCTTCTTTTGTTTGATTTCAATACCCGCTCAGTTTTACATGAAAAATACAGTGCCTCAACGTCCTCTCTTGAAATCAGAGTGCATTTAGCTGCATGGAAAGCTATAGAATTGATTGCTTTGAGCTTTCGCAGTTCCTCCAAATCACAGTGATGCTTCTTCACGTTTAAATGGTCCATACGTTTGTGTACAGTAGTCCGCGGAATATTTTTCAAGAGGTCGGTGAAGACTTGAGAAAAGGCAAACATTTGTTTGCCTTTGATAACCAAATAGCCAAGCTTTACACCTTGCATTTCCTCAAAACCGGATTCCAAGTCCCCCATTTTCTTCATTGCATTAATTCCAACATTTAGAGCAACGGGTGTCCTTAAAGTAGCTTTACTGCTGCTTCTTTATTTCAAGGCATTCTGCTGACCGGTCCAGCGTGGGCTTTGACATGTCCACACTGCTTGATGAACAAAAAGTTTTAAATAGAAAAAGAAAAATGAAATGGCCTGTTTGAATGAAAACAATCAGTCCATTGACCTGAGCACTGCATGATCGATGGAATGTGTGTGATGTTGCCGACAGGCTGGCTGCTGCCTGTCTGCGCTCCTGTATACCTGCGCTCCCTCAGCTCCCTTCCCATTTGGCCATGAGGAAAAGAGGAAGGTGAACAGCACTGCCAGTGAGAAGGATAAAAAGCGAGGAGACTAGGGAAGGGAAAAAGAGAGGGAGTGAGCGACACAGAGAGAGAGAGAGAGAGAGAGAGAGAGAGAGAGAGAGCCCAGAATGCAGCTGCTATTCCCGTTGCTGGTTTAGTCACAAATAAAATGACAGTGGGAACCGAGGAAGGCCGGAGACACCTTCATCAATTAATGCCCCCAAAGCCGACGCTGATTGGACGTTACTGACAGGTGATGCAATAAAAATGGATATTCCACCCATGGCCACCCCCACCCCACCCCCTAGCTAATTACCATACTGTTGTAATCCCACCTCTCTTAGAGCAAATAAATCGCTAGTGATAAATTCATGCTTAGAAATTAATATTGGTCATTTTGTCGAGGTATTGTTACAACTTTGAGTTGTGGTTGTGAAAAAAATAATAATGCTGACAGATGGGTATGTTGGGCAGCAAATACAATGATGTGCAGCTTTTTAAAATGTATTGTACATATTAAACATGGTCGTGATGTCATTATTATATTATATTTATTTTTTTAAATCCTTTTTAAATATCATTATACACTATGCAAAATTGAATGCATCTATTTCAGGGAGATAAGCATTTGAACTCAAACAGAGATAAAACTTGGAATTTGAAGCAAACATTGATAACAGTGGCAAGTTAAAAGCCGAATTAAAATATCGATGATAGGATTTTACCAATCCCAAAACTCGTTTAATTTCAGAAGGAAAAAAAAAGAGTAGTAAACAATTGTGTATAGTGTTTTTTATTTATTTTATTTTTTCTTTGATATTGCTTTGCATGCAATCAACATGAATCACATTATACATGAACTCAGCTAATGCTTTTTGTCATTTTGTGTGCTTGAGATATCTGTGTGCACGCACATTCTTTAAAGTAACAGTATGTGTGCAGAATAAAACAAAAATTAGCCATGCTTTGAGAAATCGTCGGAGCTTTTTCCAAGTTGCGAATTAATACACATATTCAAATTCTGCAACAAGAACTGTCGATCAAGATATATGAATTGTAGAAGGAGCTGCATGCAAGAAACACGTGTGTGTACAAACAAAAGAAGAAGAATTTGTACATGTTAATCAGCATGTTCTAATACCCTCGTAATTGTTCGGTTGTAAGTGTGTGCGAGTTAGAAGGCTATTATTCATATTTTTTGCGGTCCATATTTTTCACAGATCAGGCAGACCTCCATCCCACGTCATACTAACGTGAAAGAGAAAATAACTGGTCTTCACAAGCAAAGACTTCCCCTCCCCCCGTTTGTGTACAGACATATGCCGTTTTACAATGATGAGGAAAGAGAATGAACAGAAAAAAGTAATTTTAACTACAATACAATACAATACAATTTTCAGGCATACATTATTTGACAGAAAATCCTTCTGCTAATCTTAAGTGCACATGTACATTATTTTACGAAACTCTTAGTAAAACCTTACAAACATGTTTTGAGACACTCCTGATACAGTATTCCAAACTTCCATTGGTGTTCATTGTTGAATAAAGTGATTCTGTACATGAATATTATGTTTTTCATGCAGTGCATAACCGGGCGGCCATATAAGGCCTTGCTTTTCAGGTGGTTTTTAAAACTCAAAATACAATCGATGTTGTGCTGCGGATCAGCATGTTCTAATACCCTTGTAATTGTTCGGTTGTAAGTGTGTGCGAGTTAGAAGGCTATTATTCATATTTTTTGCGGTCCATATTTTTCACAGATCAGGCAGACCTCCATCCCAAGTCATACTAACGTGAAAGAGAAAATAACGGGTCTTCACAAGCAAAGACTTCCCCTCCCCCCGTTTGTGTACAGACATATGCCGTTTTACAATGATGAGGAAAGAGAATGAACAGAAAAAAGTAATTTTAACTACAATACAATACAATACAATTTTCAGGCATACATTATTTGACAGAAAATCCTTCTGCTAATCTTAAGTGCACATGTACATTATTTTACGAAACTCTTAGTAAAACCTTACAAACATGTTTTGAGACACTCCTGATACAGTATTCCAAACTTCCATTGGTGTTCATTGTTGAATAAAGTGATTCTGTACATGAATATTATGTTTTTCATGCAGTGCATAACCGGGCGGCCATATAAGGCCTTGCTTTTCAGGTGGTTTTTAAAACTCAAAATACAATCGATGTTGTGCTGCGGATGTTCTATCGTACAATAAAGATAAATAGATTATTCATTAAATTGTGCAATTTCAATCATTCCAACATTTGAATGCAAATGACCTGCCCCTGCTACCACCCTTCACATCTTGCCTATTATAAAAAAAAAAGCAAACGAGGTTTGGATCAAAACCTCTATGCCGTCATTGTCAAGTTATTGCTCTTGATAATGAACTGTTATGTTATATTGCATCCGCGTTTACCTGATTATGGCGTGCACAGAGAGCTATAGGCTATGTGGTGGAAGTGGTTCATGTTAATCACCACCACATCCCTTTTAGTACTAAATTCAGCATCGGTGTTTGTCAGAATGTACGCGATCCCACCTCACTAGATTCGCAAGGGGCGGTAACATAAATAGACTCCAGTTCATAAAGATTTCCAAGGGAGTGTATGTCACTCTATACTCCAGGCTACCTTTCCTATAGAAGTGAGTCGTTGTCCTGTTGATTCAGAGAACTCCTGTTAAACCTTCGGCTTTGAGTCCTAGCAGCTCCTTATTACTGTGGCTCCTGCTGCAACTGCTTTGTCAAACAAACGGACAAAAAAAGCAGAATGTTTATAAGCCTGAATTTCTGCAAATATTTAAATAACACCGCTTTTAACCTTTTTTATTTCAAATAAAATGTGAAATAAATATTGTCAGCATATTAAATAAATACTCCAAATTTGCATACAAAGAAAATACAATAGTTAACTCTTTTATTTTTGCTGCAAGCTGCTCTATAATTATTCTCTCACTTGTAGAGTTTATTTACCCTCACAGAGCAGATAGGTAGTTGTTCTGCCATGCAGTAAACAAATGTAGGCTATTTAACGATGGGAAAATTTCTCTAATATTATTGGACCTGCATTAGTGTATGCATTTTGATCGTTTTTTCGCATATACACTGATATTTGAACGTTTTGCCGTCTAGCACTGTTAATAGTCATTTTTATTCCAACCTCCGCTGATAACTTTTATCCAAGGGGCACACAACATTTGAAAGACAACACGCAGGTCCTGGTCCTTTGATTCTGAAACCTCACATCTTGAACAGCCCTCAATTGTGACATGAGTGATAATGATTGATCTTCGACCCAGTGTGCATCGTCGTGGTTGAGGGCTTTGCCTTCAGAAATGTTTTGTCCCGTTTTAAGATTTATTGTAAAGTTGATCGCTTCTAGAAAATCGGGATAACTCAGATTAATCATTGATCATATTATTACTTCCAATGCAGTTTACTGGAAATGATTAGCCCCAGGTGATCCGTCTTTAAATATATTTATTTATACTACGTACAGTATTTATTAATTATGGGATGCCAATAATTGTTCTCATATGCGTGATTTAGCCTATTTTTAATTAAGAGAAGAATTGAATCTTTACGACTTTGTCGCTCATATTTTGAGACAGTTGATAGTTGGACTCATTTATTGCAGTGAAATCAGGATGGGCCCTGGACCCTCAAACGTGACGGACTCGCCAAGTGGGGGTCCGCGTGGGCTACCTCACTACAAACGTGCGCGGAGTTTCAAACAGCATGGCAAAGACGTCCGGTGACAAATAAAAAAAGCTCACTGCAACCCATTTATCATTAAGTTAAATTAAGTAAATGTGCGCATACTTTTCGCAAAGGATCGCGAGCTCAAAGTTTGATGAAGAAGATTCTCACATTAGAAAGAGTGAGGTAAGAGGACGTTTATTCGTCGTGATTTAGCTAACAATAGAAGAACAAAGAACACATTTGGATTTAAGTTGTCTAGTAATTTTCTAGGAGGCAGCTCAAGTGTTTCAGCGGTTTCGAATAAGTTTTTTGGTCATTTCATTAATGGCACATTTAGGCAACTGTTTAAGTTGGCATTTTGATCAAATGTTTTCTTTGCATGCACGATAAATTGGCATACATAAAGACAAGTCAAGGCGGAAGTAAAGAGATATCCTGTTGAAGTTCTAGCACAAGAAAAACATTGCACGACTACTCCACTACATTTTTGTAGTCGAAAATCTGCTTTCAAGATGATGTAGTAAATGTTGAGCGACGTTCAATAACACGATGCGAACCTCCCATGACACGAATACATTCCTAAACGCCGATAAACACAACTCTCTTGCACACAGAAAAAAGTTTCTTTCGTGTCTATGAAAATCATGTGGCACGACTCGCTCTAAACAATCCCTGTTCAACTCAAAACTAATCTCCATTTACATTTCTGAAACAAGCATTAAAAGTAGTCTGTTGTTATTTATGCCAACAATATAAATTGTTCCATCTCATAGGTTGCATTCTTCTTTCAGAACGTACGAGTTGGTAAGCTACATGCAACTTGAATTTACAGAGTGAGCTGGTTGGGGGTGGGCTGCAATAACCTTTCACCCTGCCGTGTCATATCTGCATGTGGATGTGCCTGCCCCTGAATTACCCACAAGTCTTTGCGCAAAAGAGAACTCGTGCTACAGGCAAACTCATTACGGCTCCGGACCTGGAGCATCTCTGCCTTAGACAGGAAAAAACACGTGGTCCATTGCACCCTCTCTGTTTAACATTCGTCACAGACCTTGTTACGGAAGATTATTTAATCGTAAAACCCTTCATGTGGAAAAAGCAAACATAGGGTATTTAAAAATGCGCATATGAAATATTATATTAAATATTTTCATCAGACTGTATAGATATAAGTTATGTTATTTACATACAGTATTCATTAGACACAGGTTAAGGTATGATGCTATTAAGGCATTACCCGTTTTAGATCCAATTTGGGATATGATATTAGGCTGTTGTGGATGTAAATAGGCCTAATGAATGTTATTGGGTCTAGAAAACCTATATAGCCCTACACAGCAGGATCCTATAGGGGACTTATTTTAATAATAATAATAAAAAAAGAAACATGTCAAGGTTTTTTAAACACTTTTTTTTTTGAAGCAGCATAAGTAAACTCTGATAAAAAAAATGGCTAGGTCTATATGCTATCAATAACTATAGTTTGATTTAAGAACTTTGTCTATTATCAACTAATAAATCGTATCGTTTTTTTCTAAGAATATCATATTACAGAATATCATATCTGTATATGACACCACTAACGCTATAAAAATATCAAGGACATTTTTTTTTTTGCAGCGTATACATCTGTCAACTCAGCTGAACTTAACGTGGTGTTGTAAATGATCCCAACATTGCAAATCAACATTGCCCCCACCACAAGAAATTGCTCCGAGTCCGACAGTGAGACTCATACAACTACAAACTCTACTGTGAAAAGGGGATGAAGCAAGGAAACCCCCAATAGGACTAATTGTATAGACTATTAGAACAATTAATTTCATATTGGAACATTTCGTATAAAAACAATCTTACTGTATTTCGTAGTATTAAAACTTGAACGTTATGCCCCATGTGTAAAATTAAATAGCCCTATTTAAGTAAATGAGAAGGTATCATACAGTCTGCTGGGCAGCCTATCTTGAATAACAGGTGGGCTACTTACCGATATGAGAGAATTCTGATGGAAATCATGACATGTCGAAATATCTATCTGTTACCCAGTAGGCCTATAGTATGCTAGTTCATTTAATGCTGTAAGGGTTGTGTGTGAGCCATATGGTGATAAATAATTCGCAGGCAGTAAGATTATGGACATTTTAGACTGACCTGATCAAAAAACGCCAAAAGCCACAGAGGTGCCTTTGAGTTAAAATTCATAAATTCGTGTCATCCATAAAAAGAAACTATCCTTAATGTTGTTTACTTATTATTCAAGTAAAGCCCCTGCTTGTCTAAAATGGGAGGACATTAAATGTGACGATAAGTCAACAATAAAATTGAAACAAAGTATAGGCATAGGCTATTTATAATTATGAGGGACTCGCGTTTAACCTCATTTACACAAAAGGCGTGTGTTTTGAACTGTTGCCTATTGGAGGTTCGATGGGGCTCTGCGAATCGGTTGGGTCCAGGTCTATGCCAAAACCATCGGTTCAGAATTGGTTTTAAATGAGTGTTTATTTGCATGTTCACTAATTTGTCTAGTTAAGATTTAAGGCAGAGCATACAAATAAGCCCGATACATTTTTCTACATAGCCTACTTCTTTTGTTTTCCATGGTCCCACAATAGTCATACACGCAGCAGCCTTGACATTAAATAAAACGTTAAGCTACCTAAGCGTATGGTTAATGTTGAAAATAACCTCTAAAATTTGCATGAAGAAACTGACAGGCAATTCATATGCTCAGCTAAGCCTATATGCAAACCGGTCATATACAGTGGGGCATTTAATTGCCTTTTCCCCTGTGAAATTGACACTTGTATCCAGCATATAGGCTATAAAAATATACACAGTATCTAAATGAACAAAACAATAAAAGTGGGATATACCCATAGGCCTACTGCTGAACGATTCTCCGAGATTCCCTATACATTTGTTATTCTTATTGATAATGAGATTAAACAAGCGCACTAATTAATTTTGAGGGCAAAAGTCCACTGTATGCATCATTTATCTTCCGAAACTAATAAATAAGATATGTACCACTTATAAAGTTCGAAAAGGAATATAATTTATATTTCGAGGTAACTTTCTGAGGATAATTTTGAGCTGTGTAACCAGAACCTGCCTCTAATACAGAAATCCCCTCCACTCGTAGGCCTACAGCTCTGTACAGCAGTAGTTCTCATTCCAGTCCTCGCGTATGTTTCTCTTATCACTTCGACCGTAAGCGCCCATCTAAGTGGACATCACAGGATATTCCGCCATGATTCCAGTTCGAAGGTAGTGCATATGCTCCATTAAAAGGGTACAAGGCGTAAATTTAAATTGTATTTATTTACAGAGGTAGGCCTATATTATGTCACACTTCTCTAGTAAGTTTCGTCTGTGTGTGAAGACGCTGCAGGCTTCGCTGCAGGCCGTGGCGTAGATCAAATCATACTTTTTTGCGAGAAGTGCAGTGCACTGTTGCTGCTCGCGGTAAAATTCAATGGCGTTCGCTGCGTGGCTCAAACAGCCCCGCCTCTTCCAGCCCTAGGTCGGCTTTTCCACGCATGCGCGCACACGCACCTCCACATCGCAAAAAAAAAAAAAAAAAAAAAAATACCGCCTTCAATAAAAGTAGATATGGCTTTTCATCGAAATGGGACATAAAATACGGGTTTCTAGGGAGATAGGGATTCGTGAGACAAACGCCCGACCGCCTTTTTGTTGGTCTTTATGCGCTGCTGATGGTAGATGGTATCCAGCGAGCTGTGTCTGCCAGAGGAATACGACGACTCGGCGAGTAATATGAAGGAGATGATCGGAGGCTGCTGCGTCTGCTCGGATGAGAGAGGTTGGGCCGAAAATCCCCTAGTCTACTGCGACGGTCACGGCTGTAACGTTGCCGTCCACCAAGGTAAATATAAACGTCTCGACATACACTGTTATTTTTCTTGAAGGACGGGTCATTTCAGGCTGATGTTTTGATAAGTTCGCTTCTGTTGTGGTTGGAGAATTAGCTTAGCACAACATAGCCTAGCTTAGCTCCACCGAACAGTCAGTGTGACCTAAGTTTAACCGCTGGAGTGGGTTTGTGTTATTGAGATGACAGTTAAGAAATTTAGAATATTTGAACGGTTAATTCTTGGTGTTTTAAGGTGTGTCGGTTGTTGTGAAGCAACGGTTTTCCGAAGGCCCTTTGGAGTGCCAATGTTGTGTTAGCACGAGCGCTGCACGGTTAGCATGGCTGATAACACTCATTTGTGGCTAACGTTAGTCAGCAAAGCTGTCAACTAATTCCGAGTCGTGCCGAAAATTGATCGTCTGCCGAAAACTGATTGCCGTCCGCGTCCGTCCGTTTTACACTTGCCAAAAAGTGATTACAGACTCTACTTATTGAGTGAACTGTTCTTTCTGCCTCAAAATGACTTGATTTCATTCATGGTTGTTGTCAAAAAGTATTTCAACCGGTAAAAAGGACTGAATGCGATATATAATCTGTCAAATATAACAACAATGAATGAAATCAAGTCATTTTGATGCAGAAATAATAACAGTTCACTCAATAAGTAGAGTCTGTAATCACTTTTTGGCAAGCGTGAAACGGACGACAATCAGTTTTCGGCAGACGATCAATTTTTGCCACGACACCTGGGCTGTGTCCGAAATCGCCCCCTATACCCTCGTTCACTATTCCCTACAGTTGGCCACTAATTCAGTTCACTAGAAGGAGTGAATGAAAACGAGTAGTGAATTCGGACACTGAGTGCACCGGAAGGAATGCTGCTTTTGCATAGTTTGTGCTTGCTGTTTATTAATCATTTGAAACTAGCAGCTCCAGTAGTAAGATTAAAGGATTTATCTTGAACTCTGTCACGGAAATTATGTATAAACCCTAATCAAACAATTTAATAATCAATTTACAATGAATTTATACCCGTGTTGTACATTATGCTGTACGCCATGGATGAGCGCTGTGTAAAAATGAACGGATTGATTATTCAGCTGCGGGCGCCATCTTCTGGCGAGATGCGGGAATTAATTCGGCGCGTGACTCTCACGGTGCATTATGGGCATTCTCTAGCCGTTGAGCGTGCACCAGTTGTACACTTGTTTTTGCAGTGCATTGTGGGATTGAATGAGTGCACTCGAGAACGTACACTATGGTTTCGGACACCACTAAAAATGGCTGTTCCCTCAAATAGTGCCCTATTTAAGGGTATAGGGG